TTTTTGTTTTGTTTCTAATAATTATAGGGCATTTTTAAATTTGAGTTCTTTTTTGAGTGTATGTGTTGTCAATTATCTTCTGCTCTACAGCTTGCCCTTTCTCTGTTGATGGCCTTTTTTTGATGAACAGAAGTTTTTAATTTTCATGCACTCCAACATCAGTCTTTTCCTTTTTGGAGTGTTTTTTGCGTTCAATTTAAAAAGTCTTTTCCTATCCCCAGATCATCAATATAATTCTCCTACGTTGTCTTCCAAGTATCATATTTTTTATATTTCCACCTGGAATTGATTTTTGTATTTCTCATGAGGTATGAGTCAGGGTTTCATTTTTTTTCAGAGATGGATAGCCAATTGATTTAGCACTATTTATTAAAGAGATAATTCTCTCCACTCTGCTCTGCAGTGCCATCTTTGTCATAAACCAGGCCATATGTGTGTGTATCTGTTTCTGGTTCTTTTCTAGTCCTTTGGTCTATTTGTCCGGGTGATTGTACCACTGTTATAACTGTAGTTTTATAACAAATCTTGTTACCACTGACGACTCCTCTTTTTTCATTATTTTTTGCTCCCTCAAGAGCCTTTTAAGACATTTCCTCCACTGCCCTCTATGAAATCAAATAAGATTTTTGTCAGGTAGGGTTGATTTGTGTATGGCCACAAAACTATTGAAATCAGTGATTTTCTTCCCCACTGAAGGGACCAATTTTCTCTCTCCTTGGGGGCAATATTACCTATATTAAGAATGCATGCCATAAACTAAACCCTCCTGCCTTTTTCTGTATATATAGGAGTGGTTTGGTATTTGTTGTGTTTTGTTTGTTCCTATGAAATTTAGAAACTGCGTACTTAGTAATTTGTATCAAAACAAAATAGTAGACTGTGCTCTGCAGGTGAGGAATTTTTATTGGGATTGTATTAATTTTCTACATTAGTTTGGATAGTTGACATCTTTAACAGTAGCGAGTTTCCTGATCATAAGCATAGTATAGCTCTAAGAAGAAAATTGCTTTGAGAAAAATAGGAAACATAGGGAGTTCTGTAACCATGAATGAGTAGTTAAAACATTTGCAAAGACTATTCACAGATTTACCAGTGAGTTCTAGCTCTATAAAATGTAAAGGGAAACAATAAGTCCAGTCTTATACAAACTCTTTTATAAAGAACAGAAAAAGAGGGAACTCTCCCCAACTTATTTCATGTGTATAGCATATGTGAATGCATAAGGTAGCAAAGATAAGAAAGAAAATAATAGATAGTCTGATGATGATCATAGGTGAACAACTTCTACACAAGATCTTAGCAAACTGAATCTGATTCTGTAAAACAAGACTGATCAAGTTGGGTTTATCTTAGATGAAAGACAGTTGTACATTAGAAAATCAGTCAGTATTTTTGTTACATTAACAGATTAGGGAAAAAAAAACCCTGTATGCAGATAATCCTTTAGACAATGAAATTAATGCAAAGCCATTAATAATAGAATCAAGAAACAGGAAGTTTCTCACATTAAGTATGACCAAAAAAGTATATGAACTTTGGGGGGAAATTGTGAAGCTTAATGGAGACAATATATGTGTGTCTGTGTGTGATTGTGTATTGTAACTTGAAAAACTAATTTAAAAATTTTCTGGAAATACAGATTTGAATAGCCAAAACATTCTTAAAAAAAAAAACAAGAAGGGATGACTTGGCCTGTTAGGTATGGAGTTAGATAGCCATGGTAATGAAAATGTGAGTCACTGGTACAGGGGTGAACAAACTGAGAGAATAGAATAGAGAGTCTACAGCAGACTCATGCACATATGGACACTTGACCTCTGATCACAGAGGAAGGGAGAGCTTTTTAAATAAACCGTCCTGGAATAATTGGATATCCATAGAGCAAATGTCAGTTCAGACCCTGTATTTCATTGTACACAAAAGAATAAACATCAAGTCCATGTGATTAGTGACCTAAATGTGAAAGGCAAAAGTGTAAAGCTTTAAGGCTTTGGATGGTAATATAGGAGAATGCCATTATTACCTTGGGGTTGGGAAAGGCTTCATCAACAGGGAATAAAAAGCACTAAAGGGACAGATCAATAAATTGGACTAAATTGAAGCACTTGGAGTTATCAAAATATGCCATAAAGAAAGTGTAAAGGTGGACTCCGTGTAGAAGAAGATGTGTGCAGTGTACAACTAAAACATGGTAGTATCCAAGTGGTATGAAGCATGAATCCACAAGCATTACCTTCAGGGTAGGGAGGAGGGAGCAAATGTGACAGGGAAGGAATGCATAGATGAAAGCTCTGGATGGTTTCAAATGTCCTCATTCCTGAGAGGGTCCCATTACCTTTCTCTAAACTGAACTTACACCTTGGGCATTTTCTGGATGTAGCACATTTCTTAACAAAAAATGGGAAAAATGAAAAGATAAACAAATACAGTTACTGTATCAGTTTGCTAGGGCTGCTGTAACAAAATACCACAGAACGTCATTTTCTCACAGTCCTGGAGGCTAGAAGTTGAAGACCAAGAAGTCAGCAGGTTTGGGGTCTCTGAAGCCTCTCCTTGACTTGCAGATGGGCCACCTTGTTGCTGTGTCCTCACATGGTCTTTCCTCTGTGCTTGAGTATCCCTAGTATGTGTCTGTGTTTCTGAATTTCCTCTAATGAGGGCACCATTCAGATTGGATCAGTGCCCAGCGTAAGGGACTGTTTTAACTTAGTCACCTCTTTAAGGCCCTCTCTCCAAATACTGTCATGTTCTGAGACTCTCTAGGGATTAGGACGTCAGTATAGGAATTTTGGGGAGACATATTCAGCTATAACACTGACTGTGTAGTAAAGGTCTTGAATAGCAAGTGTGCTCTTGTGATTTGGATGAAGTTTCTCAAGCCAGTTTTTAAATCTCAGAAGTGCTTCAAAAAGAAATCTAAGATGTGTTCTGAAGAACAGTGCTAAATGACTAAGATTTGGATTTAGTACTGAAGATGTTAATTATGTGTGTGTAAACTTGGAATGCCATTGTATTTTGAACATGTTGAGTGCTAAAAAGAAATTTCTCAAAGTATTTACCGTTTCACACAAATACTCTTAAATATAAATGTGCAACCAAGTGAATAATAAATGTAACATTAGAATTAGATATTTCAGTTTCATCATCCCCACCATTTGTTATTTGTAGTTGGCAAACTATACAGAATTATGCAATGCAGACTAAAGGGCTTATGGGAAAATGAAGGCATGACACCCAGAAACTTTGTCAGTGACACTCAAAAGGTCAGAGCCTAATAAAAACAGCAGCACAGTTTCACACACGTTAAATAGTTAAATACATAAGTACTGCACTGAACATGACACTTTCCCTTAGAAGGGACCTGCCATTGTTGCTGTGGAGATGGGCATCAGAAGAGTTTGCAGTACTGACAGAAGGGGAATCATCTGGAATCAGAGGGAAAGTGTGTAACACCAGATGTGGATGAATGTGGCCCATGACACAAACAGTTGAGGTAGATGGTAGGTGTTGGGGTGTGTGCATGTGTGATGTGTGTCCCCACATGCCTTGATTGAGCTGAGTGCAGTTTTCCTGTCCATCCAGGGTTTCCTTCCAGATAAAATCACATGTAAGCAAAACCAGAATTCTTGCTGTGCTCACACTGTTGCTTTGTGTGTCAACCATGTTGGAACAAATCCGTGTTTTCCAACAGCATTATAGCAGAACTCACGGCATAGCTCCACCTTTATATGTTTTGTAAAGACTCCACATGAGGCTCTTTTCACTATGCTTTTGAGATGACTGCCTAATATATGACTGCTACACGGCACCTAAAGTCTCTTGGTGAATTTTAAGTTTCTCCAGGCTAATGAATTAAGTGGTTTGGGTGTGGAATCAGGGTTTTGCTTGAGTCTGGTGGGTGGTCACTGCATTGCACAGAAAAGCGTCAGTTCTTTTTGTTTCAAACAAGCTCCTTCTCTTCGGTGACTTCCCTCTTTTTGATGTTGCTGCCAGGATACCTTTAAGCATTCACCTGAATCAGTTTTTAAGAAGCACGTGGGTGGTTATGTTTTGGGGGTCCTTCCCTTCTTTTGTTGCTTCTGTCCACTGTGGCAGTATTATCCCAGAGCTTTGCCCCAGCGACAGATTTCCAGAAGTCTTTGTTTCTTCCCTCCGTTTCACTCCTCCGGTCTGTCTGCTTGGTAACAGAGTACATGAAATGCTTCTCGTTTTCCTGTCTTTCTTCCGCTTTCTTGGGTTCACTTTCAAGACACTTATTTTGTGCTCTGAGCCAGGAAATCTACTCTCCCTCACAGCATTCCCATTTCTCCTTCCTGTCTAGGCATTGCTTGGTGTTTCTGTAGTCTTCTGCATGTGCCTCTGTTACAGCATATATATTACATTGTTTTGGAGTTTTGCAAAGTTGGGTTCTCTAAGTAAGCTGTAACTTCTTCCGGGCATGGGCATATCTTTCTTATTTTTACTTTTCTGTTACCAAGTGCAGTGCTCAGCAGTGGGGGTTGGGTGAATGGATGAATGAATGAATGAAGTGGGCTTAAGAGCTGGTCCACGTGATCTTATTTATATTTCCCCTCATTTTGACTAAGGGACATCACCTGTAGGTGTCTTGATCACTTGAACTTTAAAATTATGAAACAGGCTGGTGCATTCAAGCTTTTTAGCAGTATAATAATAAAATTTTCTTTTGTGTAACCACAGATTATACACTATGGTTTCATGGTTTTTGCTGCTAATAGTAAATGAGCGTGGCTAATTTGCCACTTTAGGATTCAGTCTTTTTGACACAAGAGTAGTAAAAATCCTATTTTTCAATTTGCTACTATGAGTTAAAAACAATTATTTCTGAAATTTTCAAATATTTATGTATTAAATGAAATAAACTCAAAAAGGGGAGAATATTTTTTAAGATAATAATTTATTGTTAATTCTTGACTGCTACATTGAAACAATAAGTAACTTTTCAATTTGTTTTTAAGACCTTGTTTTTTCTTCTTCTTTAGGACCTCTTTGTTGTTCGACATGAATTGGCCATAATGAGACTAGCTGCCTTTATGGGCATTACTATGTTAGTTGGAATAACTGGACTTTTTTATACTCAACTAATTGGCATCATCACAGTAAGTATATATTTTTTAAATGTAAAGTCATGTATTTATGAACACATTCCCTAATTATGAACTTAATTCAAGAAGTTACAAAAAGTTTAGCAATTAAAGGAGAGAATTCCTCATAGTCATTTATGTTTTAATTTCCACATGCCTGTGTAATTTAAAAGTAGTTAAAATCAGTCTGTGTAGAGGATAGGTACAATTTTGTATCCTGCTTTTAAAAATTAATGTATTTCTGTGTGGCTACGGACTTCGTGTTTGTTTTTAGTAGTTTTTAGTAGTTGGATATACTCCAGTGAAAATACCATATTTTAATGAACAGTTTTCCTGTTGATCAGCATCTAGTGTGTAATCATTTTTCTCTATATTACAAATAACATTACTTTGAACATCTCTTTTCCACTTTAAACTATTTATTTAAGGTAAATTCCAAAAAATGGAGTTGCTGGTAGAAAAATTTTATTAGTAATTTTTATTTTTTTGCATGAATTTATTAACCATGTGAGATTTACCACAGCAGAAAAGTTCAAGAAGTGAGAAAAATTATATCAAATATGTATTTAAGTTTGGTAACAGACTGCATTGTAGAAGATGTGTGTTAGCGTTTTCTTATACACTGTCGGTGGGGATGTGAATTGGTGTAACCTCTTTTAAAGGTAAATTGTCATGTGTATCATACTTTAAAATGCACAGTCCTTTTTTTTTTTTTTTTTTGTAAGTCAGATCTCTCTTTTTTTTTTTCAAATAGTTTCTTGTCAAATTAGTTTCCACATAACACCCAGTGCTCATCCCCACAAGTGTCCTCCTCCATGCCCATCCCCCCTCCCCCCCACATCCATCAGTCCTCAGTTTTTGTCAGCATTCAAGAGTCTCTCATGGTTTGCCTCTCTCCCTTTCCCCCACCATTTCCACCCTTCTTCTCCCCCTTGTTCCTTAGTTAAGTCCCTCCTAATCCTCCTATACGTGCAAACATATGGTATTTGTCCTTCTCTGCCTGACTTATTTCGCTCAGCATAACACCCTCAAGGTCCATCCATGTTGCTACACATGGCCAGATTTCATTGTTTCTCATTGCCATGTAGTATTCCATGGTATAGATAAACCACATCTTCTTGATCCATTCATCAATTGATGGACACTTAGGCTCTTTCCATGTTTTAGCTATTGTGGAGAGTGCTGCTATGACCATTGGGGTGCATGTGCTCCTGTGCATCAGCATTTCTGTATCCCTTGGGTAAATTCCTAGCAGTGCTATTGCTGGGTCATAGGGGAGTTCTATTGTTAATTTTTTGAGGAACCTCCACACTGTTTTCCAGAGGGGCTGCACCAGTTTACATTCCCACCAACAGTGTAGGAGGGTAAAATGCACAGTCCTTTTGATCAACTTCTACCCATTTATTTTGTAGAAGCTATTTTATTCATATGGATGTAAATAAAGGTGTGTGTTACAAAGGATCTCCTTTATACTATGTATGACATATATATTGTGTATGAAAAGTGTTTACCAGAGTATGTTGGGGGGGGGTGGGAAATGTATGGTTAAAAAAATGTATCAAAATTTACTATAAAGTAACAGTAATCAAGAAGGTGTGGTACTGGCATAAGGAAACATGTATAGATACATGACATAGAATTGAAAGTCCAGAGACCTATATCTATGGTCAGTTGATTATCATCAAGGGCGCCAAAACTATTCAATGGGGAAAGGATAAGTCTTTTGAACAAATGCTGCTGGGAAAACTAGATATCCACATGCAAAAGAATAAAGTTGCACCCTTACCTCACACCATTTACATAAATTAACTCAAAATGGAGTATAGACTTAAATGTAAGATCTAAAATTATAGAACACTTAGGAGAAAACATAGAAGTAAATTTTGGAATAGGAAATATTATCTTAGATAGGATACCAAATGTTCAAGACAACCAAAGAAAAAAATGGATAAATAAAACTGTAACTTTTGTGTTTCAGAGGGACACTATGAAAAAGTGAAAAGGCAGGTCATAGAATGGGAGGAAATATTTGTAAATCATGTATCTGAAAGGGGCTTTTATGTCTAGACTAAGAGCTATAAATAATAAAAAGACAGCCTAATTAAAACATGTTGAAAGGATGTAAATGGAGATTCATTCAAAGAAGTTATACCAGTGGGCAACAAATACGTGAAAAGATGCTCAACATCATTGGTCATCAGGGAAATGAAAATCAAAACAGTAATGAGGTACCACTTCACACACAGTAGGATGGCTATAATAGAAAAAGGAGGGGCGCTTGGGTGGTTCATTCCGTTAAACGTCCAACTTTGGCTTAGGTCACGATCTCACGGTTTATGGGTTTAAGCCCTGCATCAGGCTCTGTGTTGACAGCTCAGAACCTGGAGCCTGCTTCAGATTCTGTGTTTCCCTCTCTCTCTGCCCCTCCCTGCTTATGCTTTCGCTCTTTCTCAAAAATAGATAAATTTGCATTAAAAAAAGGATAAGAACAAAGTTTGGTAAGGCTGTGGAGGAATCAGAACCCTCACACACTGCTAGTGGGGATGTGAAACAGTGAAGATAACAGTCTGGCAGTTCTTTTAAAAGTTAAACATAGAGTTATCATTTCTCTTACCATTCTACTCCTAGGTACATAGCCAAGAGAAATGAAATCTATGTCCATGCAAAAAGTTTATACGTGAATATTTATAGCAACATTATTCATAGAAGCCCCAACTGAAAGCAATTCAGGTATCTGTTGCTGATAATAATATTGTGTATATCCATACAGTGGATATTATTTAGCTATTAAAAGAAGTGAAATACTGATACATGATACAACGTGGAACCTTGAAAACATGTTAAATGAAAGAGACCAGTCACAAAAGGCCATGTATTTATATGATTCCATTTGTATGAAATGTCCAGAATGGGCAAGTCTGTAGAGACAGAAAGGAGATTGTGTGGTTACCTAGGGTGGAGAGCCAGTGGGGCTGGAGATGAGAACTAAAGGGTTCAGGATTTCATGTATGGGATGATGAACATGTCCTAAAATTGATTGTGGTGATGGTTGCATGGCTTTGTGAACATACTAAAAAAAACACCCGTTGAAATGTACGCTTTAAATGGGTGAACTGTATAGCGTATGAATTATATGCCAATATAGCTCTTTCCCAAAAAAAGAGCCTATTTCTAGCATAAGTTAAATGTTAATTTTATTCATTTTGTATATGGTTTGTTGATGTCCTTTGTCTATTTTCTTAAGGTATCCTTTTCTCGTTGATCAATAAGAAAGGTTAATAAAAATGTTAACTTTCAAAAAAAAGAAATAGTGCAGGAGATAGCTGTCTCTCTATCTCTGTCTCACTGGCTGTACTCAGACTCCCCTGGAAAGGCACATTAGATAGTAGTCCTAATCCTCACCTCTGAACTGGAAGAATGCAGTCAGAAATGGAAGGAAAACATTTACTGTATAACCTGTGTTTCCATATTTTATAAGGTACTCCTAATAACCTTTCTTCCCCAGGTTTTGTAGGAAAAATTTTAAACACACAGGAACTTTTAAGGAACTTTAGAATGAATACCCAATCACAATTAACATGTTAGAATACTCTATCTCATTTCAAACTATCAATCTGTTATATGTTTTGATACATAGGAAAATAAATTGCAGGCATCAGATTGTTCACCATGCAAATCATGAACTAGAGCTCAGTGCTTGTTTCCATGTTTTTCCTATGAGGCAGAATTTACATACAGTGAGAGGCATACGTTAAGGGTTAGTATTGGAGGAGCACTGACAGATGCGCCCAGCCCAACCCAAAGCCTTGTCACAATACCGAATATGACCATCACCTCACAGAGTTCCCTTCCGCCCTAATCAGTAAGTCCACATCCTCCGCAGAGGCACCATTGGTATCCTTTTGTTCCCCACCATAGGTTAGTACTGGCTGGAGAATTTCCTATGTACCCATTTATATGGATCTTCTTTTGCTCAATATAATACTGTTTTGATCCATGTTGTTGCATGTAGTGATAATTCCTTTTCGTTGCCGAGTAGTATTCCTCTGTATGACTATGCCACAATTTCTTTCTCTATTCTATTCAAAGAGGGCTGGCTTGGTTCTAGGTCGTGGCAATTCTGAATAAAGTTCTGAATGTTTTTGTTCAAGTCTTTTTGTGGAAGCATGTTTCACTTTCTTGGGTCAATATCTAGGAAGAGCTGCTTTGTCACTTAGGAGACACTTATTTCATAAGCAGCGGCCCAATCTTTTCCCCAAATACCATTTGCATTGTCACCAACAATGTACGAGAATTCTGGTTTTTCCATATCCTTGTCAACATTTGTTCGTATCAGCCTTTAATTGCAGCCACTCTGGTAGGTTTTAATAGCATCTTGCTTTAATTTATATTTCCCTGATGACTAATGATATTGGACACTTCTTCATGTGCTCATTGGTTGTTCATGGATCATGTAATGTCTGTTTAAATATATTTTTATTCTTCAACTTGAAGTGTTTTCTAATATCTCTTATGATTTCTCTGATGATGATAAATAGCATGGTATTAGTAACAGTGGTGAAGATGAAAGTAGGTCTTTCTTTGCCTAAATTCTTTTTTCTCTACTTTTATATTAATTCACAGTTACTTTATAGTCTGTTGATAAGTCATGCCAAAATTGCCAGATTATACGTGCGTTTTTTGAATTTTCACTTTGGATTTACCAAACTCACTGGTATATATTTTATCCCTTGGAGTGAGAATTGTCAGGCTTTTCCAATTTCTCATGATGAGTGACTAGAAATGGACATTTGGGACATTGCTGCTAGGAGTACAAGTTACTAACAGAGCCGTCAGGAGTTTATAGCCAAGGGCAGCAAGTTTTCTTACGTAGCAGCCCCAGAAGCTTCAGAGAGGAGGGTTTGGCAGCAAAGCCTTTGAAATCTTTTAAGAATCCCTACTTTAAAATTTTAGCATTCACTTTGGAGTTGGCCACAAAGTTATTTTTTGAATTTGTTGGTTTTTAAAGAATGTAT